GCAAACGTTCGAGGCTCCGTAGGCCGGGGCGGCCGAAGTCGCAACGGGCTGTCGACTGGTGGTCCCGCAAAGTAGCAGGTTCGGAATCGATAGGGTCGCCGTCGGGAGCGTGACGACACCCCGTCGCGTCGCGCGTCGGCCGTCGTCCGAAGGAAACAAGCGTGCATACGCGTGCACCGTCGTTACGGCCGGCAACAAGCCGATCATTTGCGATCGTGATTCTCGGAAACGAGCGGAGGAGGCTCGCAGGAATAATTCAGCGACGGTGGTGTTCGGACTCTAGAGAGAGAGAGGGGGAGAGAGAGAGAGAGAGAGAGAAAAGGAATAAGTAACGCGATTGCGCCCCCGGGGCGGCTCGTTAGGGGTGTAGTTCGGGGTTAACGGAGGTCAACGGGGCGGGATCCTTAAACTCGAGCCTTTGGACATGATAGCATCGTGGCTTCCGAGAACTCCGCGCCGCGCCGCGCCGGATGATAGAGCGTCACGTGTTCCTAAAAAACCTCGCGAGGAGAAAGAACGAGATTCGGCAAGCTTCGGAAACAAAAGAAAAAAAAAGCAGGAGCAAGCTGCGCGTCCGACGGTTCAACGATCGGGGAAAAAGCTGGCCACGGTGTCTCTATCCGCGATCGCGGCGAGCGTTTTCGAGGGGCAAGAAGAAAGGGGAGAGCGCCGCCACTCGAGTCGCGCGGTTCCGCAAGCGATATCGCGAGAGAGCCAGATATTCCGGAGAACTCCAGAAAATTCCAGAAAATTCCCGGAAACTTCAGAGCGTCCCGCGACGATCCCAGCAGCGAACCCTCCCATTATCCCCGGCTTTTTCGCGTCTTTCCTCGGTTTTTCCCCCGCCCCCTTTGTTCCTGCCGAGCGCGACAGTCTGCCGCTTCTTCGTCGCTCGGACCGCGTTCTTTCCGATCGGACAAGAAACCGAAACTTGTTTAGCCGGGACAGCCCCGATGCCCAATTAGCGATTCGATTCACGGATCGCGCGCGCCGCTGACGTCGACGCGTCCGAGATATCGATCGAGGATCGTTCCTCGTCGACCGTGACTACGATCCGCTCACCACCACCGGCCCGGCCCGGCCCGGCTTCCTTCGAGCCTGTTCTTCGCGACGATGATCGACTTCCCTGAGAAACCGACGACTCGCCTTGAATTTTGACCCGGACGCTTCTTAAGGCTTGTCCTCGTCCCTGTCCTCATCTGCCGGCCGTGGATCGATCGCGATCGCGGGCTCGCTACGGATCGGTCGCTTTTCCTGCTACGCGTTCGCTTTTTGAAACATCGAGCGTGATCATGGTAATAAAAGTGTTAATGATGATATTAACGATGATAATGACATTGATATTAATAATACTATTATTATTAATAATAATAATAATAATAATAATAATAATATTGATAATAATAATACTATTAATAATAATAATAATATTGATAATAATAATACTATTAATAATAATAATAATATTGATAATAATAATACTATTATTAATAATAATAATGATAATAATAATACTATTATTATTAATAATAATAATAATATTAATAATAATAATGCTATTAACACTAAACCTACCGCGGTCAAAGCGACCGCTTTCTTATTTTGCAATTCTGCAAAGTTCCGAGACTCCTTCGTGGAAAATGCTTGAATAAGTTATATTATTGGAGCAAGTTTTATAATAAAAACTTGACAAATTCCAAATAAATTCGGTCTTCTCACTTTTGTGAAGCAGTACGTGACAGTTAGTATTACTGCTTGGTAGGTTTAGTGTTAATAATAATAATAAGATAGCTAATAAACCAGATATCACACTTATACATAGATAAAATAAATAGAACCACGTACATCATTGACACAGCAGTACTACAACGTAACAATGACCACAACGTAAAAATAAAATGCATAGAAAAGAAAGGAAAAATGCACTCGACTAGGTCAAGAAATAAAAAGAATATGAAACCAAGAGAGAGAGTGAGAATAATACCATTCATCTATTTACTATCGACAACAGGCATTACCCCAAAATCATTCATACAGAATCTAGATATACTACACTTACCAACACATATACATTCGCATATACAGAAAGCAATCATTCTAAATGCAACGACAATAGTAAGATGATTTCTACGATAGAGACACCTACATGAACTTGGCGTGATCCGTTCAAAATAGGCACAAACCAAAGAGGAAATCCTCTAAGAACTCGCAAGATAATAATAATATTAATAACAACGACAATAATACTACTACTACTACTAATAATAATAATAGTAATAGAAATGGTCAAAGAGAGAAACCCTTTGTTGCCCAGTGCGCATTAAAAAAAATAAGGTACGAAAAGCTACACAATAATATAAATAAACGACGAGATAAATCGATAGAAAAATCAATAAAAAAAAGAACAAAGAAGTAACACAATCCAACATATAAAATGTCGCGCGTAATGCTTTTACGTAAAACCTCGCGGATCTCCGACTAGACCGAGAATCGTCCCAATTAAAACGAAGCAGGAATCGACGAAACTCCAAGAAAAAATAAAACAAAAAAGAAAGAAACAAAAAATCCCGCGCGCAGTCCGTGTATCCGCGAGAGCGTTCAAAAAGTCTCGAAAGTTCAAAGGTCCGTAACAGAACGGTGGATCCGAGACCGCGGGGCCCTCCCCGATTTCGCGTGCGCGGCGATCCCACCGTCGTGATCGCGCGGCGTTCGTTTCCGAAGAACGCGAACGGATCGGCATCGACCGCGAAAGCCGAGCGATTCCGACGTACGGATAGAAAGAGCGAGAGAGAGAGAGAGAGAGAGAGAGAGGCGGGCGCTCTCGAAATAAGGAAATCGAGCGCGGGCACGTTGTTTCTGCGAAGGGGGGCCCCGGTGGCACGGTTTCGTCATCGCCGGGACTTTCTCACGAGAGACAGAAACCCGGTCGGCCAGACTCGTCTGGAGCGCAACCACACATCTCGCGGGCCTCATCCGATTGCGCAACCCCCGGTCTGCGAAGTCCGATCGTTTCGAACGTGTGGGCGCGCCGAAAAGCGAGAACCGCGCGCTGCCCGGCGGGGGCAGCGCGGGGTGGGCGAGGGGGGAAAAAAAGCGGTCGACACACTTTTCAGCGAGCACGAGGAGAAACGAGCGACAATGACGATCCAGGGGACCACGGTCGAGAGAGGCTGGCGGGAGTCAAAGAAAGCGGGCTCGCTCGCGGGGCCTCGCCGCGCGCGCGCGTTCGCCACGCAGGCTACGCGGCGTCATCGGCGCGGAGTCGATTTTCCACGCCGTGGTTAGGCGAGGCGCGGCGCGGCGAGGCGATGCGAGGCGGGCCGAGGCGATTTTTCCCTCCCGTCGCAGCGAGAAATTGCTTAATGAAGCCGCGAGGTTGGCGCTGCCTGAAAGGAAGGTAGAAACGTTGCAGTGGGTCAAGGAGAGACACCGGCTTTCACTTCCTCTCCGCAGCGCCGCGCTATACCCCTCGAGAACACCTCCCATGCCTCTCTTTTTTTTCCCCCGTCGCACTTCCTCGGCCTTCTTGCTACCGTTAGGAAGCGAACCGGCCGATCGAACCGCTCGATTTCTTCCCTTCGATCGAGATCCCTGTTCCGATCGAACGGAAATCATCGAAAATCGTCGAATCTCGCGGTTATTCGATCCACGTTTTTCCTAGATTCCGCGTCGATAGTCTTGTACAACTGCTGTTAGAAATGATCGAGAATGTGATTCGCGGCTGTTCTCTTGTGAGATTTACGGTCATTTCTCCACGATTCGCGCTCGGATTGCCCACGGAAATGGACAATTTCGGGGAGCGGGGATACGATTGTTCGAGCAAACCGAGCGCGAATTTGGGAGAAATTGCTGTATGCGTTGCTATGAACATGTCTGTATCGATTAGGATAGCTAGAATGCGTGCAATACGAGGACATATGTGCAGCGAATCTTCGTGCGACGTAAAAATGTCCGCGTCGGTTGCACTGCGCGAGATCGAAGCGCAAGTTTTCTCTTTCTTTTTCGCAATTTTCATAATTTCGCAATTTTGATACTTGGAACATCGAGTTCTCAGTTTCTGTTCAACCCTTTGCACTCGAAGCCATTTTCACGGTAAGTCTGAAATAATTTTTCTGACTTACGGTAATTGCATTTTATATGACAAAGCGCATTTTATGCGTACGAAATTGAGTCTCCTGATTTGTAGAACAGTTATGCTTTTAATAATATTTATAATCTAAGCTTCGACGAGATATAATAGTGATATTAGAACGTGATACAATCATTTCAGTGGTGCCTCGGACTCGCCACTCGAGTGCGAAGGGTTAATATTCTCACCGTTTCAAATTATGCACATTTTTGCTACGAATGCATAAAAGTCGCTGTCTAGTAATACGCATAAGCGTTAGCGAACTCATTTCTATAAACGTATTAACGATAACGCGAAGAGAAACTGTACCAAAAGCATGCGAAACAGCGTGAAAATCGCTCGCAAAACCGCAGAAATTACCCTCGAAAAGAGCCGATCAGCCGAAACTGTGTACAAATACGAACAGTTTATAGATCGCTCGATCCGTAGCGAGAATTCCTTCGATCCGAGACCGCGGAAAGATTAATAGCAGCATCGGCAGACGGTTCCGATTGGAAACCGGCCGCGATCGAAGTCCGCGATGGAACGTAATCCACTCCTATGCTCTATAAACAATCGCGTGGCATGAATGAAAGCGAGCGCGCGCGCGCGGCCGCCGAATGTTTACGTTAGGGTTGCGGCAACCCGAGGCGCGAAAGAATGGATCGCCAAGTCGATCGGAGGCAGTCGGCTGGAAAGCGAAATCGCCGGTGTTCCTGATCCCCTGTCGGTAGATGTAATCCTTCTGTTATGCAAATAACCGTGCAAGACTCTCCGGACGGCGCTGTAACACTTTAAGTGTTACTTACAGCTGTTTGTTCGCGCCGGCTGCGAAAACGTGGACGCCGAAGCTAACGTAACGCTTGTTTTTTTTTCTTTCTTGTAATTCCAGTGGACACCAGGGAAGTCCAGCCACACGATGCTAGCGAGAAGGAGCAGCTCGGCTTGGCGAGCGTTAAAGCGGAGCCAGGATCGACCGGCACGACGACGACCACCACGGGGACTCGTCTGTTGCACGGTATTCTCTCCCAGCATCCCCAGCAGCACGGTCTAGGGGTGCAGAACGGATACGGCCGCCACTTGGCCGGCCATGCTCAGATAGGCCAACCGCCCTACACCACTGCCACTATCGCTTCGACGAGTACGCCAGGTCAGTGATAGTTCCGGCCACCATACCCCATCCCTTGTCACGGTCCCTTGGATCGATTTTGTTCTTCTTCTAGAATGCCCATCTTCTCCCTTAGTTTTTCAAGTGTTCCGTTCTCTGTCCTTTGTTTTATCCCTTATTTCTTCATTTATTTTGTACTTTATTTCTTTCTTTATTTTGCCTTTTATTTCGTCCCCTTATTCTTTATTTTGTCCTTTAGTTTATCCTTTATCTTTTCGTTTATTTTATCTTTTATTTTGTCCTCTATTTGATTCTTTATCTTGTCCTTTATTTTGTCCTGTATTTTGTCCATTATTTCTTCCTTTATTTTATCTTTTATTTTGTCCTCTATTTTATACTTTATTTTATCCTTTATTTTTTCCTTCATTTTATCCTTTATTTTTCTCTTATTTTATCTTTTATTTTGTCTTCTATTTTATTCTTTCTTTTATCCCTTATTTTGTCCTGTATTTTGTCCTTTATTTTAACTTTATTTTGTCTTCTATCTTATTCTTTATTTTATCCCTTATTTTATGCTGTATTTCGTCCTTTATTTTTTCCTTTATTTTTTCCTATCTTTTATTTTGTCCTATCTGTTATTTTTTCCTCTATTTTACCCCCAAGACGGCGGTCTATTTGATGACGTACATTAAAAGCTACGTAACGAGTAAAAAGATCAAAAAATCGTCAACAAAATAATGAACCTTGCAGACGTAAATGAAGGACAATTTTTAACCTGTTAGACGCGAAACGACGAGCATACTCGTCGCAGAAAAATCACAGTTTTACGTACGTTGCAACGAACATACTCGTCCTATGATTTCAATGAAACGTATTCGTAAGATCGGCAAAAATATTGAGAACCTCGTGGGAATAAACTTAAACTCGATAACATTACTATATAAACTGTTAATTGTTAAACGGTAAATATATCGTGCTAAATCGAATAACACCGAATAATATAAAACAGTCCGCGTAACGAGAGATCGGCAGCCTTTGCCTTCGGTTTGCCTTTCTCTAGATTTCAAGCGAAAATAAGAGAAACGGTTGTTCAGGTCGCCGAAAATTTTCCGGGGAGAACTGCTAGCCGGAGTTCGTGAAAAATTGAAAGATTAATCATTTAGAGGCGTCTGCGCGCGCGAAACGGGGCGAGATACGCCGGGCCGTTCTAAAAGCGGAAGTCGAGAAGCCGGTTAAAATTTCTTGACGAGTGTCCCGCGAAAATAGAAAAACCGCGGGAATAGAAAAAGAGAAGAGAAGAGAGAGAGTGTGAGAGAGAGAGAGAGAAGGAGACGACGCCGAGTGAAATCTCGCCGCGTGTCGACGGCGAAGCCGAGAAATCGATAATGCCGGTACGCGGACGCGACTTCGACAGGAATTTTCGCGTTTTTTACCGCCACCCCGTCGTCTCCGGCGATTAATGTCAACGGCGGGGGATTGCCGTCGGCCGACCGACCGACCGAGAAACGGCCAATGGGAGGCCGCGCGAACGATCTACGCGTCTACGTGCCCATGAAAACCTGTCCGAGAGGAAAGTCAAACGTTTACCGGAGCTCGGCCGATGCCGGGCGAGAAACGATTTCCTGTCCGGCTGTTTACCAATCGGCCGCCGATATTGCTCTATAAATATTATTATTGGCCGCGGCTGCTCGATCGAACGGAAAATCGATTCGCCGCCGTGTCGCAACCGGCTCCGCGAAAATTCGCAGCGTTCCGTTTCCAGGACCCGGCTCACCGACCCGAGCTCTTCGATCCTTTAAAAGCGCGTTTTGCTCCTTTCGAAAATCGTAACGATCGCGGTCAGATCGTCAGATTGACCTCTTTATCGCGCCAACTTTTTATTCGAATTTATTTTATTCGTTCTGAAGGTTCGACCGGTCTCTTTTTTACCCTAAATTAAAATTAACCCTTTGCACTCGAAGCCGCTTCAGTTGTGAAACTAAAAGAATTTCTCTGCCTTATAGTGTTTCCATTTTATATAACAAAGCGCATTTTATGTACATGAAACCGAATCTCGCGATTCATACAACGGTTACGCTTTTAACGATTTTCAAGAAATCTAAACTTTGATAATATATAAATATGTAATAATGATAGATAATATAACTTTGACAATATATAAAATAAATTAATGTATAAATATATAATAATGATAGATAATATAACTTTGACAATATATAAAATAAATTAATGTATAAATATATAATAATGATAGATAATATAACTTTGACAATATATAAAATAAATTAATGTATAAATATATAATAATGATAGATAATATAACTTTGACAATATATAAAATAAATTAATGTATAAATATATAATAATGATAGATAATATAACTTTGACAATATATAAAATAAATTAATGTATAAATATATAATAATGATAGATAATATAACTTTGACAATATATAAAATAAATTAATGTATAAATATATAATAATGATAGATAATATAACTTTGACAATATATAAAATAAATTAATGTATAAATATATAATAATGATAGATAATATAACTTTGACAATATATAAAATAAATTAATGTATAAATATATAATAATGATAGATAATATAACTTTGACAATATATAAAATAAATTAATGTATAAATATATAATAATGATAGATAATATAACTTTGACAATATATAAAATAAATTAATGTATAAATATATAATAATGATAGATAATATAACTTTGACAATATATAAAATAAATTAATGTATAAATATATAATAATGATAGATAATATAACTTTGATAATATATAAAATAAATTAATACATAAATATATAATAATGATAGATAATATAACTTTGACATTATATAAAATAAATTAATATATAAATATATAATAATGATAGATAATATAACTTTAATAATATATAAAATAAATTAATATGTAAATATATAATAATGATAGATAATATATAAATATATAAAAATGATCTTGGAACGTGATACAACGATCTCCGTGGTGCCTCAGAGTCGCCGCTCGAGTGCAAAGGGTTGATACCTTGCGTGATAACGAAGCTCGATCTGTGATCCGCGTAAAATACGTCGACGCTAACTCTATGTACAGTAAATTCTACCTAATTTGTCTTCAGCTTGTAAACAATTTGGAAAGAAAAGATGCGATTATTCCAGCCTCGCGGCTCATTTTCATAGCTGCCGATTTTTAACGATTCTAAAGACGAGGCGCGAGTCTTCCCTAATCGACCATTTTTGTCAACAAGCCGAAGGAAAATTAGGCCAAAATGACCGGTCTCGCGATTGATTATTTTCGAATTGTTGAAATTATAACAACTCTTTCTCAACAAACGATCGCACGAATTCCATCGTTCGAACCGCGAAAAATCGAAATGAAATCGATGTCTCCATTCTTCGAAAAACGCGCGTCGGAGCTCGACGGGTAAACAATATTCGACGAAATGAGCACCGTGCTCAGCTAATCAGAAATCAGAGATAATCGACGACGCTTCTTCGACTGATAAGGCTATAATCCTCGCGCAAAGAAGGCCTGGCATAGCGCAGAACAATTTCGGTCGCCTTCGATTTTCTCGGGAATAGAATCTCGGTCGAGTCTCGGGGCATTTTAACGCACGATTTACGAGCGGTAGGGACGGGGCGATCTCGTTGAAATTTCCATGTTGCCTTCTCGAAAGACCCTTCGCAGCCCGCGAGACGCACAATGATCCGCAGTCTTGTAATCGCGCGGGTAAACAATCGCGACAGCTCGAGCCGGTTAAAAGATTCCGCTGCGTCTTCGGCGGACGGGCTCGAGGGGAGGAGGGTGATCTCGAGCCACCGTTAAGAAAAGCTCGCCGTCGTTGAATAGGGTGCATACTTGACTCCGTAACGCCGACAATGCTTGCCTAATGCGTGCGTGATCCGCTGCATAGAAGATGAGCCCTTGTCCCGCACTGTCTTCGCGCCCTTTAATTCCTTCGTCCCCTGTCTTGCAGATCGGCAAAGCGGTCCTCGCCCGGCCGCAGAAACGCTCGACGTCTTTTCGCGTCTTGCGCCATGGTTTTCCGCTCGTTGACCTCTCAGTTGCGTCGGTCAATTTTTTTTATCATCTTTCGCGGTTTCTCTCTCGGCAAGTTTTGCAAGTTCAACGCTACGCGCGCGAAATTTCGATTTGTCTGCGACGAGAGCACATCGATTGTTCGCAGCTAAGAGGTAAAAATCGTCGAAAAAAATAGAGAGAGAGAGGGAGAGATCGCGTTTCGGCTCCAGGAAACGCCCGATTTCGCGCGAACACGCGGCGGTCCGCTCGCGGAAAATCCGCGCGAAGGCGCGCCGAAACGGCGTGCGTTTCTCCGAATCGTGGGACCGTGGAATCGCAAGAGACCGCCGAGCGAATCGGAATGGACCGATTTCCACAGCCGCGGAGGCGAAAGGGAGGGGTGGTAGAGATCGGTTTGTAATCGAGATCGGGACGGTAAGGAAAGACGGCGCGGCGCGATTCTCGTGCGAGCCGGTGAGAAGAAATCGCGCGGCGTCTCGGGCCGAACCTTTGCAAAAGTTGGTTGCGTAACGCGAGGTTGGCGCGGGGACGGGAGAGCTCTCCTCGGCGTTTCACGAGCGATCCGGTTCAAGAGAGCGAGCGAAGAGCAAAGCGGCGAGCAAGCAAACAGCTCTGCTCGCCGGGGAGGTCGATTACCGAAATAATCGTCGGTTGCATAAAAGGCTACGGCCGCCGCGAGTGCCGAGTGTGCCGCTGGACCCCGCGAGAACGATCGAACGGAGCCGGCTTCGGCTTCGGCTTCGGCTTCGGTGCACGCTCGAGACGGACGGCGGTTTTGCATAACAGCCGACGTCGTTTCCGACGTGTGTCGGCGGCGGCGGTGACCGAGACGGGCCAAGACGGAACGAGACGGACCTTTCCGAGCGCGCGCAGGACCTTTAAGGACTGGTTCCAGACGCTTTGCTTTCTCCCTTTCTCCTCCGGTCCCTCTCTCCTCTCTCTCTCTCTCTCTCTCTCTCCCTCTTGCTCTCCCGCTCTCCGTGCCTCAAGGGAGAAAGAGAGAGCGAGATAGATAGAGAGCGAGAGAGAGAGAGAGAGAGAGAGAGGAGACACGGGAAGAGGGAGAGACAGAGACCGTGGGAAGCACGAGCGATATGCATACCCAATGACCGGATGACCTTCGCCCGTTGCATAAAGATGCCTTTAATTGACGGCGCACGCGAAAACACGTTCGGCGCGCTCGGCTGCTCGATAAAGCGAGCGAGTTAGGAACCGCTCGCTCGCTCGCTCGCTCGCTCGCTCTCCTGCTCGCTCGGACCACCTCGGAGCCTCTAATTCGCTCCTCCGGCGCACAAAGACCGGAGAGAAACCGAGCGGAATGAGTCCCAGCGACGACGACGACGACGACGACGACGATGACGGCGTCGCGTGAAATTCGACCTCCTCGTCCCAGAAAGCTCCGCGCGGCTCCTAGCGCGCGCGGCCGCTTTAATTTCGGTCGCGATCAATCCTCTTGCTCCGTTTGACCAGCTTCATTTGCAACCAGACTGCCAGCAGCCACCTCCGCGGCTTCTCGTTTCTTTTTAACAGCGGATCGGTTCGATTACGAGCGAATCGAACGAAGCCGCCGCTCGATCAGCAACGCCGGAATCTCGTCGCGAGCTACGATCTTTGTCGTCGCCGGTGACAGCTGCCAGACACGATTTACTAGACTCGCTGGATCTGGACGTTTCTGTCTTCGAACAGACTCATTGCCGCGCGATCTATTTCACAGCCGTGCTGGACAGAAATTCTTCGCCGATAACGATCTCCTATAGACGGCTATGAATATTTATCGGCGCAACTATACTCGATGTGTAGCTCCTAAACGTGACTCGCTTCGACGTAGACGTTCAATTATTCCGCCGTCGTTGGCTCATATGTCTTATCCGCTAATTTGTCACTTTGCAGGGTATTTTGAAGTGACGGGAATATTGCGCGCCTTTTAAGCAACGCTAGATAATATTCTATACTCTGTCGAACTCATATATAAGACTCTATACAAGGTTTCCCAAAATTATGGTCTTTCCAGGAAACGAGGGATTCCTGAGATTATTCCAAGCAACTTTTTCCTCGGCGATAATTCAATCCGCGGCTCCGTTTACGAGTTATCAACGAAAAACGCTGACCAATGAGAGGCGAGTTCGGCTGGCGCGAGGCGGTACAGCCGATGAGCGCGCGACGCCCAGTTCCGCTGATTGACTCTGCCGCCACGCGCCGACCGATCTCGGCTCGCATTGGTCGCCGTTTTTTGCTAATATCTCGCAAACGAAGCCGCGGATTGAATTTTCGCCAAGGAAAAAGTTTCTTTAAATAACCCGAGGAACCCTTTGTTATGAATTGCGAGACATTTTCGGGACATCCTGTATAGGACTCAATTTAAAACTCTACATAGGTCTCGATATAGATCTCAATAGAACTCTATACAGTTCTAACTGTAATTCCATTTATTTAAACAATATTTTAACAATCGAAAGCTTCGCTTTTTAACGATCAGAAATGCTAGTTGGGACAATTCAACCAAGGTAAACAGTCATTTAGAAAACAAATCGCTTTGCGATAAAAATAAAGAAAAATCAACAACGATTGTCGCGGCCGTAGCAATCGGCTTGGATCAAAGATCGCCCTCGCAACGCGAAGATCGGCAGAGTCTCCTCCCGAGAACAGGTATCCGCGATGAAGCGTGCGCGCCGCGGAAACGACACGGCGCGCTCTCTTTTCTGCGGTTTAGCGATTCAGTTCGGCGCGGAAACGGCACGGCGATCGTGCGGGTCGGGAGAGGGAGGAGGGTTGTTGCAAAATCGTTGGGCCCGGCGAGCGGGTCTCCCCGGCCGACGTTGATCGGCGTCGGCGATGGACGGCAATTACCAAAGGAAACGTATCTCTGTTTTGTTGCATGGGAAACAGGAAGCGGATCACTGCCAGCGAGCCCCGCGGACAGCGGAGTCAGCGACGTCGAGTCCAGCACGTCCTCGGGCGCTAACGAGGACGCGAATCTCTTACTGAAGACCAGGCTCAACCCTAACACGTCCCTCCAGCCGAGCCTGGCGTCCCATCACTCTCATTTGTCGTCAGGTAAGTGGACGTCGTCGCCATCCGCGCGTCGAATAGGAGAAACCGGCCGGACGTGGATAGATAGATAGACAAACGAAGAGCGAGAAAGAGAGAGAGGAGAGGGAAATAAAAGCTCGTAATTACGGAAGACGGCTCAATTAAGCGAGACGGACGGCCTAGACTCTAGACGACCCGTAGACGACGACGCGACGCGACGCGACGCGCGGAGACGAAATCGTCGCGGACGATTCGGACAACGCGGCGGGAATCGACAGACCGATCGTCCCAATTTCCCCGAAAGAGACTTCTCGAAATCGTTCGAGCCGTGTGCATCATTGATAAACTCGGCGCTCGATTCGTCGCGGCGGCGATGGGAGAGCCGATCGGTGAAAATTGAACGAGCTACGCGATCCCTCGAAACTCGATAGTCCCGGATTATCGAGCGCGGGACGGACGGCGCGGAGCGGCGGGTACCGTCTCGCGATACCCGATTGTTTATCGATTTGTTCGCGGTGTAAACGGGCCCGCGCGTCCGCGAGAACGATTCCGTCGGACGACACAGAGTTTCTCATGGCACCTTGTTTGACGAATGCCCGACAGCAGCACTCGGCAGGTCAGCCTGTCACAGTCCTGGCGTTTATCCGTCGACGGCGGGCTTCCTGCCGCCCTCCTATCACCCCCATCAGCATCATCCCTCCCAGTACCATCCGCACAGAGGGAGCTCGCCGCACCATCAACACGGGAACCACGCCATGGGACCGGCCATGGGACCGCCGCACCACCATCACCACCATCAAACGCAGAGCCTCCAGCACTTGCATTACCGCCAGCCTCCCACACGTAAGTCCAATTACTCTAATCATATTGTAAATTTTACTTTCTCATTGGCGTTCAATTTCGTTAACCCTTCGCACTCGAGCGGTGAACCCGAGGCATCGCTGATAATTGTTACATCGCGTTCCGAGATGATTTCGATGTGATCGGAGCTTCGAGTCGAGAAAGTTAAAAGTGTCATACTCTTCTATGTTATTATTGAATTATTATTATATTATCTATTGTTAGCCCTCTCGCTGCGGCGGGTTTTCTTTATCGAATTCGTTCAGGTCACTCTCGTTAGTTGTAAAATCGAAGGGAGCTCGCGTTTTTATTGGATCGAGGCGCGACGTTGAATAAATAGTTGCGAGTTGCTGTATTTCTCGTTGGCCTCAGCTTTCGTTAACCCTTTGCACTCGAGCGGTGAACCTCGGCGGTGAACCCGAGGCTGATAATTGTTACATCGCGTTTCGAGATGATTTCGATGTGATCGAAGTTTCGAGTCGAGAAAGTTAAAAGTGTCATGCTGTTTTCTGTGAGTCGCACGGCTCGATTGCATACGCGTGAAATGCACTTTGTCCGATGAAATGGAAGTAAAATAAGTCGGAAAAATTGGTTGAACGCGAGCTCGGAAGAATTCAAGAATTCAAGCAAATGAATTAAAGTAGCGAGAAACGGAAAAATCGAAGTCGCGTAACGGGAAATTTCGTTGTCCTAATTATTATCATTGTTATTATCGTTACATTGTTGTTATTATTATTATTATTTATTAACCCTTAACGGTCCAATGCCGCCATACACGCGGCAGAAATCAACAAAACCGTAAAATCTGGCAGGAAACATTGGAAGAATAGGCATGAAAATATATCAACGAAGTTTTAATTAGAAAAACGAATATCTCTCTTCTCTATATTTTTTTTCTATATTTTTCTTTTCTATATTTCTCTAAATTTTCAGTAAAAAATTTCTCTTCGTCCGAGAAACAGTCTGGACTTGGCAGTGTGTAAACTGGAAATAAATAGTTTCGGTCCCCTAAGGGTTAATTAACGGGCGCGAGCCCTCGGTACAGAAAGAATCTCACGGCCAATCGAATCTCACGACCCTCGCAAAATACATGATCGTGTCTAAGACGCGCGAACGCAAGTAGAAAAGTCGAACGAATTCTATAAAATCGTTAACGTCGACGAGGATACCATTTAAGGAGTTAAATCGGTCGTAGGAGCGTTCTACGAAACTCTTGCATGAATAACTTGTGAATTCCAAGAGCCGTCGATGATACATTTAAAGCAAAGTTCGATAAAATCGCAGGGCTCGAGATCGATCGATAGATCAGATTATCGCGATAAAGGCACACTCGGACGCGTTATCAAGAAACGTAGCGACCAGGCGAACGACGCCGGATCAATCGTCGTAGATTGCGATCGAACGTCTGTTTTCAGCGGAGCGAAGCATCCGGTCGTCTTTCGGGCGATTACGTTTTCATTCGGGTAATTATTTCAGTGTCCGCGAGGAATCGATTGCGCGACGCGACGCGACGCGATGGGACGCGTCGGGACGCGACGGGTCTCCCCGCGGCGGTTGATCGTTCTTGGGAGAACGCATTCAAGTTTAAAGGCGCACCGGGTTCTTCTTCTATTTCGAAAGCCGAGCGAGTGTATTCTGATCGATGAGAGAGCCGCCGGCAGCGGGAACGGAACGTATCGGAACAGACGTCTCCGTTTTAATTCGAGACGTGACCCGTTCTTTATTACCAGCACGACCGTCTTCCGCTATTGTTCGATATCGATCGGCGCCCGGTTAAACGAACAGGCAATGCACACGACAAGCGTATAAGTCATACACGTGGAAAGGAACGCTTCGCCGCTCGTTATCCTCGCGCCGCGCGCGCCGGGGCAAAATATAGCCGCCGCCGCTCGCTGAAAGTTTCGTAAAGCCGCGGATCGCGGGATTAACGGCGGCATTATGGTCGGCTATTATCGTAGCTGCTTTTCACGATCCGGCCGAATCGACCGAAACGAAACTTCGGTGTTACGCTGCGGCGAGCCCGCGCCGGGATCGAGAACACCTTTGAGCGCGTATTTATCGGCAACGTTTGTGTGTCGCGCTATTATCGTCGCGAAAGTGTTCGATAGAAAAGATCGAACTCGATCCGTCCCTACTTCGCGCGTCAATAATAAAATCAACGGAATCGACGGGATCAACAACGCGAGAGCTCGGAAGGCTGAAGAATTCCGCTCCGCGAGCGAATGAATTGAAGCAGCGAGAAGCGGAAAAATCGAAGTAGAAGAATCTATTACTATCTAGAATCGGCTAGAATTAATCGACTGGACTAGGATAACTAATGCTTGATTTTCGAAGATGTTAGACATTATTTTCGATGATCTTCCACCTCGATCCGTTCCTACTTCGCGCATCGATGATAAAATTAACGGAATCAACAACGCGAGCTGGGAAGGCTGAAGAATTCCGCTCCGCGAGCGAATGAATTGAAGCAGCGAGAAGCGGAAAAATCGAAGTAGAAGAATCTATTACTATCTAGAATCGGCTAGAATTAATCGACTGGATTAGGATAACTAATGCTTGATTTTCGAAGATGTTAGACATCATTTTCGATGATCTTCCACCTCGATTCGTTCCTACTTCGATGATAAAATTAACGGAATCAACGGAATTAATAAAGCGATTCAACTTGCAGACAGTTCTCGATCGACTTAGAAGCCGGTGCACCAAAATCGCTCCTCTTTTTCGCGATTTCTCTCACGATCGTATCGTCCCGATGAATAAATAATCGGCGGTTTCGGAGGCCTGTAATTATCGTGCTCGCCGAGGAGCCGAGGCTCGCCGTTCGAGGTACCGGAAGAGCGGCCGGAGTCAAAAAACGTTCACGAAAGCCGTTCCCCTCACGAAATCCCGAGAAAAACTGACTCGGAATCTGGCTCGGTTACGCGCCATGGAAACAATGAAACGGACGTAGGGCGGGGGAGGTAAGCTCGATGGACGGCCGCAGAAGCAAGGGAGAAGCGCCGAGACCCGGCTCGTCGGCGCGAACATTTAATTGCGTTTCGCGAGACCGCGAGAACGGTCCAATTAAAACGGCGCTCGGTTCTCGGTCTGGCTAGGAATATCGGTCAAGCCAAGCTCGTGCTCAATTTCCACGTAACTGTCGACGAATGCCAGGCAGGAAGCGTCTCGTCTAGTTCGGCGGTCTAAAGAGAGAGAGAGAGAGAGGGAGGGAGGGAGGGAGAGAGGGGGACAGATAGAAAGAGAGACCGAGAATTCGCGACTTCCTCGTGGATGCAAAGTGAAAGGACTCTCGGAGTGCAGAAGCGTTTCGCTGCGAGGAAAAGGCGACGAAGACGGCAAAAGCGAAGCGGAAGAGCGACAGAGAGAGAGCGAGAGAGCGAGAGAGCGATAGAGAGAGAGAGGAACGCACTCGCGTGCTGTTTTCGTGTGTACCTGTGCATCGAGCGTGTCGTCATCCTCCTGCTCGTCGGCAGAAGTCGCAGCGACGCCGACATCGGCCGAGCATTCGTTCTCTTGACCCACTTACTTTTCCCTGATTCAACGGCCCAGATTCGCTTCCTGGCGTCGTCGTCGTCGTCGTCGTCGCGCGCGTCGATAGGATCGACTCCGATTCACCGATCCCCGTCTTCGTCGTCTCCCTCCGCTGCCGCCGCGACGCGGCCCATTTAACGCGCTCGCGAGACGCGAATTCAACCCTTTTGTCTACGCGCCACCTAATAACGCCTTTGTCGCGCCGAACGATCGCACCCGGCCCGCTGCCACAGCAGCCGCTGCACCCTATTTTCGAGCGGAATCGCCCGAAAACAACGAACAAACGGAACAACGCAGCCGATCTCGCGGGATAGATCTCGCTGATTCGAACTCCGCTTCCTCTTCCGCTTCCGAGCGTCGCACCGGTCCGCGGGCCAGATCGATGGCCGTCTGCCGGTTATTGCACGCTCCTGCTAAATTAACTCTCTCGTTATCGATCCCGGCGGGCTCGACTCCCCTCGTCAGCCTCGTTCTAGCCGATTTTTCCGTCCAAATCGAGTGATTTATAAAGTTAGCCCTCTCGCTGCCAGCGGGTTTTCTTTATCGAATTCGTTCAGGTCACTCTCGTTAGTCGTAAAATCGAAGGGAGCTCGCGTTTCGATTGGATCGAGGCGCGACGTTGAATAAATAGTTGCGAGTTGCTGTATTTCTCGTTGGCCTCAGCTTTCGTTAACCCTTTGCACTCGAGCGGTGAACCTCGGCGGTGAACCCGAGGCTGATAATTGTTACATCGCGTTTCGAGATGATTTCGATGTGATCGAAGTTTCGAGTCGAGAAAGTTAAAAGTGTTATACTGTTTTCTGTGAGTCGCGAGGCTCGATCGCATACGCGTGAAAAATGCACTTTGTCCGACGAGATGGAAGTAAAGTAAGTCGGAAAAATTGGTTGAACGCGAGCTCGGAAGGCTGAAGAATTCCGCTCCGGGAGCAAACGAATGAAAGTAGCGGGAAGCGGAAAAATCGTGGTAGAAAAATCTACTGCTATCTAGAATCGACTAGAATTAATCGAGACTGGATTAGGATAACGTTGCTTGATCTTCTAAGATGCTAGAAATCATTCTCTAGAATCGACTGGAATAACGTTGCGAAATTATCTTTAGCGAACATTTTGCCTTAAATTCTGTTCAATAGAGTACAATAGAGTGAAAAAGTCGATGGACAAGTCGCATACACTAATTTGCATGTACCAAGTACAGTAGTATAGTTCAATTGCAATTCCGTAGGACGATACGATTTTTCGTCTGTGCGCGTTTCTTAGATTTACAGTAACGTCTCCCTTACTGACGCTTAGATTGCGCAGGAAAATGGACAACTTGGGAAGAGGAGACACGATTATTCGAGCCTTGCAGCTCGTTTTTATAATCGTTGACAATTCGTGACTATAAAAATAAACCGCAAAGCTCGAATAATTGCATCGCCTCTTCCAAAAATTGTCCATTTTCGTGCGCAATCTGAGCGTCGGTAAGGGAGACA